GCCGAAGGAATATTGATCAACCCCCATTTGTCAAGATTAGGAGACCCAACAACTGATGGTTTCTTGGTTCCCTCTTGAAGGAAGACAAGCCAAAATAGGGAGTTTCCCATTTGTCCGAATGGTTTTTGGTTCAGTCCCCTCTAACCCTTTTGTGACATCGGAGGCTCCGCACTGAGCTCATGGCGCGCCTCGGCGACGGCGCGCCTGCAAGCGGCGCGGCCGGCGTGGGCGGCGTGGGCGGCGCGGGCAGCGCGGGCGGAGGCGAGGATGTTGGCCTCGGGGCTTCGGAGCCGCGGGCCTTTGGGGGGTGGAGGTTTGAAACTTCTTGCTTAAGAATATGTTTTGTATTTTCCCCTGTTGGTTTTAAAGGGAAGCCATCACTGAAAATTTGTTTAGCTGTTCCGGAAAGGCTTGAGCAAATGGAAGGAAAAGACGGGGCAATCAAGAGGAGATTGGGGGCGACTGCAATGGGGCTCGCTCAGTTCAGTTCGGCGCGTGGGTACTGCGATTCATGGACTTTCGCTGGTCAGGCGTTCTGGATAATCAATATCCCATAGCCACCATTCCCAGAAGACACACGGAATTGCCTCTGAGGGAAGGTTCTAACATGGACTTCACAACCATCGCAATGGAGGCTTACCATTTGGACCCGCCATGTGGGTCTCTTTCTGGGTCCGGAGGTGTTGATCCAGCGCATCCACTCAGCAGCTCCCTGCGAAACGTGGAGTACATGCCCTTCAAATCCGGCGCGGGCGCCGTGGCGGGCGCCGCGAGCGGAGTGGCGAGCGCCGTGAATGCGGAGCAGGCAGGGGTAGTTGCAGTCCGCAAAATCCAAATGGGCCTGTTTTGTGATGTTATTGTTGGTTTCCTTCAAACCAAAACACGGTACTCTCGGAGAAAAAAAAACATGCGCAAATGGGCATGTTTAAGCAGCAGGCAGTTTTTACCAATAGAGCATTGATTCATGCAGATGGCAGTGAAGGCGTGTCTAGGACTTGTACATCAACCGTTGTCATAACCACCATGGCCGGTTTAAGGCTTGTTTGTTATCCATACCACGCAAAGGCGTACATACGCATACCCATAAAGTGGATGGTCAACCAAGGAACAATTAGGCCAAGGACTATGAACACGGGTACTACTACTTTGGAGCTCAGCACCCGCAGAGAAACAATTCAAAGTGTCTTTGGACACTCATCGTCTCGCTGTCAGTGCGGCTCTGCGTCAAAAGCTTAATCTCAGATGTCTCTGACATGATGTCTTTGGACACGTCTCTGTCGTTTGTGAAATCCTATCGTGTTGCTTTGTCCCCACACAGAAGGGAAGAATCAGCATCCTTGCCAGCTATGTCAACAACACACATATTTTCTCCATAGGAAAGTTTGGTCTGCACAGTTGTTCATGACGCCAGAAGTGCGGAACTGTGCTGTATGGGCTGCACGTGGAGCAAGCAGCCAAAGTCTTTGTGCCATCATGGTAGTTTCAAAAACGGGCGAAGCCCCAACCTACACACACACACACACTCACACATGCTTGTGCTTCCCATTCGGGAGCTGGCTTAGATTCATTCACTCATTTACACTTGACTGGGATACGCATTGGTTACATGTTGAACTTCTCGTGACTCAAAGTGGAGAAGCCAATGACACGTATCTTTTGCAACAGGGGCCTGACTACTCCAAATAAGAAACAGTTTCAAGTCATTTGTCCTTTTCCCCTAAAGGATCGTGGCTTGGTTGACAACAAGACACGAGCTGCGAATGGAGCCTTCTGGGTTGCTCCGGATCAGGGCACAAAGCCTTGGGCACCTAGATTCACAGTAAGGAAGGCTGCTGTTCCTGGCTTCCCTCCAAGGTTCTGACATGGCCGTGGGTCAACACCAATGGTACCATTTTTGGGGTAGGTGCACCACCCATTTTACAACCTATTTTAGTGGGGATTGGGATGTTCACTGGGGTGCGGGGTTTTGACCCATAGCCACATTTTTTGAGTCTCCGTTGGCATGCCCGGAGGATGCTAGGCTATCGGAGCTTCCCATGCGGAAGACCATCATGAACCAGCGGAAGATCATGGAGCAGCTTCGGGAGCAGTTTGCTCAGGCCCCAAATGGCTTCGCCGGGCGAGGGTTTGGCCCCTTGCTGAGATTTGTGCTGAGTTCTTCTTTGGTTGGGGGCAAAAGCTGAGGAGCATGGGTTGTATGAGGTGTTGTTTAAAGCTCACAAGACGCAAGTCCTTTGACAAATGGGGAATGATCATCTCCTGAGAAATCCGCTTTGTGCTAAGCCGCAAGCAGGACAGATTTTGCCAAGTGGACCCGGGCAAAAGCGGTGAGCCTTATTGGGTCCTTCTCTCAACTACAGGGCTGACTGCTGCCTAAGGACTCACATGGGCCCTTTTCTGCATCAAGGTGTAAGAAGTCACATATTGGGAATGCTACTGCGGGGCCCATTCTTTTGCCTTTCTCGCAAAAAAAGCATGTGCTTTTCAAGCACATGTGTATTTACTGGGCTCCCAGGTTCTTCAAGGCTGACTTTTTGCTGTACCCTCTTCCCCCTGAGCACCGGGCTCGTTGCCAGGCCCTCAAGGAGGAGCCGACGCCGTTGGCCGCCTTTTCAGAGGCGAGAGGAAGCGTTTGGGCGGAAAACCGGCATAGGCTTCTGAAGCTGGTGAACGTCTTGGTTGGTATTTCAAGGCAAAAGAACACCAAAGAATGTGAACCAACTTTGGAATTTAGGGGACCCCTTATTTTGAGCAACACCCACAAACATACAAACAGAATGGTGATGTAGAGGTTGTGTTCCCTGGTCGATGGGAGAATGCTGAAATCTGGCTGACGTAGCTAAACGCTTGTATGGCGATATGGTTACCATTTGCCACCACCCCCGGGCGGGAAAAGGCTATGGAAAGATTGCAATTGGTCCGCTGGGCTAGGTGTTTTGTTTTGGATGCTTAGGATGCTCGAAGGCTGCAAGTGGGTTTGTCTCCCCACCCGCATGCACCTGTGCTTGGGATCATTCGCCGTCGTGAAACACGTAGCTTTGGCCTCTGATAAAGCGGTGAAACTTCGCGTAAGCCCTAACAGGGTTGAACTGGGGAAGTGGGACATGGAGTTCTTGCTCTTCTTTTTGAGCTTGGGCTTCCTCTTGGTTCTAAAGTTCCTCCCTTGGACTTTTTTTTGAGAGAAATGGTTTGGCCAAGGGGGTTCTATGTGACACGTTTGGGCATGAGCACGTGATATCTTCGCCCTTCTCCAGAGTAGTGATGGACACCCCAAGCAACGATCACTTCAAGCCATAGTTCACAGAACGATGGTCATGGTCAGGCTGCAGAGAAATCCCGTGTTCCATGTGACAAGGATCGGGCCACACTTGTTGATAGCCCGATTTGACCAAAAAAAAAAACACGGTTCAACGGGTTGAATCCCCCAACCCCGATTGGTACCAACTTCCAACTATTCTAAGCATCTGTTCTTTGAGGGTGGTTCCTTCTTTGGAGGCTAGCCCCCTGTTTGAGTTGAAATGAGCGCCCCTCGTTGGGTTGCTTAGGGAAACTCAGGGGAAGTCATGGGAAGGAAATCAAATGGACCTCCTTTTTTCGAGATGTATGGGAAACCAAACTTGAACTCATGTTGGGGTATGCTGTGACGCGAAAATCAAGGGGAGGTCATGCTTTTTTCCCAACAGATGCAAGCTATGGGGTCTCTGCCCAGATAGGCGCTGGGGTGGTTTGCAGCAGCTTTCAGGGAGAGTTCTGGAGATTCAGTTCCAAGGGATTCCAGGAGCTGTTGGGTCCCGATACCCGCTGCGCTTATTTTCTTGCTGGTGCGATAGGCAGGGAATGAAAAATGAAATGATCCTTATAAACCATCCAACTGGTGGGTTCCTTTAAGGAGACCCCTGGCTTCATTCCAATTCTACTTCCCTGCCTATCGCACTGAACGCAACAAAGGTACCGGTGACCTTGAGATATTCAGAAACGAACTGGTGTGGAGCTCACTGGTTTGACCTAAATCGTTTGGTTCTGAGCACCAGCAAGTCCACCGCGCCGTGGACGCATTGACGGGACACATCGGGACGCCGCCGACTCGCTTCCGTAGGCGGAGGGCGAGCGCGTAGAGCAGCTAGAGGCGGAGCTGCGGCGCTTGCGCCGGGAGAACGGCACGCTGAAGAGCAGCTTGTTCAGCTCCCAGGAGACGGTTTGACGTTTAAAGGGGTACCCTCCCACCGAGTAACGTGGAACCGGACGTTTTGGGGTCCTGGTTTGGACCAGTTTCCTTTTACAGAAACCGGGTCCCTGTCAGGTTCCACGTTAATCCCCTGAGCATGGGCCTCCAGATTGAAGTTAGCGTTTTGCTATGGTGTCCCACAGAAATTGCCGTTTGCAACAAGAAAAGAGAAAAGGCCAAGGGTGCGTCTGAAAAATGGGAGGAACCATGCACCCCTTTCTTTTTTCTTGGGGGGGGGGGGGGCGGGGTTGAGCGAATCCAAAGCAAGGTGCCCTATTATGAAAGCAGAACAGGGGATCTAACAAAGACACAACCAGGGACATTCCTTAAAAGGCACCACCTTCGGCAGCAGGGTCCAAAAAAGGGCCATATCTTTGACGATCTTTTTGGTGGTTCCATGCTTTGTTTGGGCCGACTGGCATCAAGCAGGGACCCTCCAACTGGCAACGTTGTTTTATATAGCCTCATACAGAATGCGTGAAGGTCCCTGTTGAAATGCAACCGCTTACTTCAGGGCTTAACACTCTTTTGTGTGTGTGTAAACTTGAACATCTATTAGCTAATGTTGTTTTGTTTTCTGACCCATTTCTCTCTCATGTTTTGGATTCCAGGATTTGGTGTTTGATCGAAACGGAACCCGCCACATCCGGGGGCCGCCAAATCCCCGCGCTCCGACTCCAGAGCCGGCTGCAGGAGGAGGCGCAAGCGCGGTCCAGCGAAGCGGCAGAGCTACTGCTGGAGGTGGGAAGTGGAGTTGGTCGAGTGGTTTTTGCTTTCACGGGGATTCAGCTTTTGGCATACCCTTTGCTTTTTCCAGTTGAGCTTTTGTACCTGTTGGTTTCCTCGTTGATGCGTGGTTGTTGTGGTTGTCTTGTCGTGGTTTGACCTGGACGGCTTTCTCTTCTCGTGGTGCCCACATGGTATCACTCTCACCAACTGCGATTTGACCTCAAGTGTGTGTGTGTGTGTGTGCGCCCGTCTGTGTGTTTGGGTGTGTTGTTGTGTCTATATGCGGATGCCTCTGAGCCCTGTGACATCTCTCGATAGAAATGTTCGCTGGGTTCCACTCCACGTTTGAGCCAGGGATTTCGGATCGACACTGCATGTGGCATGATGGCATACTACATGTTGTTTTTGGTTTTTAAATGCATGCATAGAATACATGGGTATGACATCTAAAGGAGAAGAGCCGCCCAAGATCGCAAAAGCTGGCCATCAATCCCCAGAGATTCACCGACCTGGACATCTTCTGATGCATACCCTGACATTAGTCTTTAATGGCGTACCTTGTTCCATTCAAAGTTCAAACTGTTGCTTGTCATGTTGGAATGTGCAGCTGACCTTTGAACCTTTCAGCTTGCGTTGGTTGTCCAGAGCTGACCCTCAAACCTTTTGGTTCCCGGCTAGTCGTAGTTGTCCATGGTCCATGGTAGATCATGGTAGGCTTCTTTTAGATCGCACCAACAAGGGTTCGGCCGGTTCTGACGCACCCACACATATTTGCGCATACATCGGTACACATAATATATATATATATGTACATATTGTACATGCTGTATAGACCAGGTATGCGTTTGTGTATTTGTTTGTGTACATCTATTCCCGCATTCCCGCATCCTTTCTCGAGATCGTTTTGGATCCAATCGCAGAACAGCCACCTGAAGTCGGAGCTGGACACCATCCAATTCTCCCACCGTGATGAGCTCCAGGCGGAGCGGAAGCAGATTCAGGCGGATTCGACGCGGGAATCGGATTGGATCGGATTGGATCGGATTGGGCCGGAGGGATGGATGGGGGCGGGGGTCTGTTATTGTTGGAGGGTACCCGTTTTAGCTTGGTTTAAAGGGAAACCACAAGAAAAACTGGGGACCACTGCTTGCTTTTTGGCGGAGGTTGTTCCTTTGATATCAGTCGGCAAGAAACAGACTCGTCCTTTTTTCGGGGGGAGGTGTCCCGTTTCCCCAAGAAGCAAGCGGCGTCAGCCGGTGCAAAGGTGGGTATGTGCAAGCAATGTAAGAAAACATGTGACCGGAATGGTCCCGTTTTGTTTGGCCAGAGTCAGTCGTTGTGTTAGTTGTGTTCTCGGACACAAATGCACGCACATCAGAATGCAGTTGTACAAACACAAAAACTTTGCAGCAAACAACGCCCACAACTTCGATGTGCTTAGGAATATGTCTTAAATTGTCCCTTCTTGGTTTAGGACATCTCTCACTACTGGACATATGTATATTGTATAACATTTTGCCAGAGGGCTTAAACAACTCGAAGTTTTGGGGTGCCCTTTTGGGGTTGGTGCGAAGGGAAACGAAGAGGTAAACCGCTCGGGTGCCGAAAGCGTCGAGGAGCTCCTGGAGCGCGAGGCTCAGCAGCGCCAAGAGGTGCAGAGCCTCCAGGCGCGCCTGGCAGAGGTGGAAGGCGCGGGTGCCGCGGGTCGATGGAGGAGGAGGGAGGGGGCTGGGGGAGTTGAGGGGGCAGGATGTTTGGAGGGGTTGGGGGGGTTGGAGGGGTTGGAGGGGTTGGAGGGGTTGGAGGGGTTGGAGGGGTTGGAGGGGTTGGAGGGGTTGGAGGGGTTGGAGGGGGGGTTGAATTGGAACTTCTTGTGCTTCCATACAAGGCTCCAGCATGCCGGAGCGTGTAAGTCAAGCTTTTTTAGTTCGGGTCCCTGTTTTTAGATTGTTTCCTATGATATCACAGAAGTGGCTTCATGATGCGGAAAACCGTTTTCAGACACCATGTCAGCTGTTCCCTTTTTCAGTTGACGGATATTGTGCGCGCCCTTTCATGTCAACTGCAGATTCCGGACAATATTGATAGGGCGATCCCATCTGAATTTCTTATTCATGATCTCCCACCTCTGAGTTTCCTTCTTTTGACAAACACGAAGTTGACCTTGTGCCTTTTCCCACGCGGTCCAACGCTATCACTACAACCTACGTCGATTGGGTAGATGCAAACCCTTGAAGCCCCCGAGGGAAACCAGTGCGGGGATGTGTTTTGCGGGCTCCATTTGGGGGGCGGGTCCCTTGTGGTCCTTGGAGAAGTCCAAAGTTGACCGCATGTTTGGGGGTTGTATTTACAGGAACATCGGCAGATCTAAGCCAAAGGAAAACCACCGGAAAACCAAAGGTTGAGAAACCCACCATTTTGGGGTTGCTCCAAAGAAACCACGGGAAAATCCACCCATGTTGGTTCGTCTTCCGACAGCGCCAGGTGACTTGGCGCGGTGGCAGTCCGCGGCACAGGAGGCCAAGACCGTGGCCAGCTCGGAGAAGGCGGGTAAGACAGGGGTTGGACGTTCTAGGGTGATGTCTTCATCTGGTTTGAAGTTTGGCTACGGAAATGCAGATATGATACATGTGCGGTGTTATGTTTGCAACATGCATAGATACATCGCTCAATCTCTCCCTTGCTGTACATATTTATGTGTCAGTATACATTACCATATAGGCATATGATAATAATCTGTGTGTATATATATATATATGTATACACATCAATAGATCCGTAGATAGATTAGATAGATAGATAGATAGATAGATAGATAGATAGATAGATAGATAGATAGATAGATAGATAGATAGATAGATTGTGATTAGCCATGATTCATATCATCATCAGGGACGTCGCGTTAGTGACTGACCTGTGGTGTTTTGGCTCAAGTTTTGGGTTCCGTCGCGCCTCGAATGGGCGTCGCCGAACCCCTGCGTCGACCGACGGCATCTCGGGGGAGAAAGAGACCTCGGGCCGCCGCCAGGTTGGTAGGGACCAGTCGTGCGGCCTGTTGTCGACCAAGGTTGCGGGTTAACCCTTTTCTTGTTTGGTTTGTTTTCCTTTTGGTTGTTGTTCTCTGGTGTGTGGGAAACCCTGATCTTTGGGACCGGGGATTGGTTTGCTTTTGGGGAACCTTTCTTTTGTGGCTTGTTTACCCCAACTTACCCATTGCCTGGGCACAGGCTCGTGCCCGAATCACAGGTTATCAGCCGTAGGACTTTCCTACGCGCTTGAGACCATCAACTACAAGCTCTATGTCGACCCCACGATCTCGAAGGAGCGTCGTGGATGAGGAGGCCATCCTAGGTGGCCTCCGCTCAGGTGAGGACCTACCGGACTATGACTACGAGGATTTCGAAGCAGGTTCGACAGGTCAGGACCGCAGGGGTGAAGATCCCGGTAGGGATACACCCAGGGGCCGTGGCAGGTACGCCGACGATGGAGACGATCGTATTTTCCGCCAGGCCACTGATGACGAGCAGACACGAAGGGTTTACTCCGGTAGGAGTGGCTCTGAATCAGGTCACAGGCGTGGACATTTTGACTTCACCAGCATGGCGATGGACATGGCCCGCCCTCATTCGGATGACCCGGAGGCCATGCCGATTCGACCTCCGAGATCTCTTGTTCCAGGTGAGTCGCAGGTCTCGGATGAGTTTGAGAGTAGGCCGCAGGGACCAGGGACTATGGTTCTGGTTCCGGGAGGTATCCCGGGCCGATCCACTGGTTCTCAGAATCCAGGTCAGTTTGATGAGCACGAGGAGCGGAAGTTCTCAGACTTCGGATACGATGATCTGTTGAAATCAACCGCAGGTTGGGGCAGTAGCTCAAAGCAGGGATCTGATGCCGGTAGGCCCAACCCCAATACTGCCAAATCTGAGTCTTATGATGGCGAAGGTTACAATTTTGCGGATGAGGAGGAGAGCCATTCGCGCCGAAATGCAGGCAGCCGTGCGACTGCAAGGACTAGTCCTGACGCTGCCAAGTTTGAGGTCGATGATGATGACGAGTATGCCGCGTTTGCGGATCGCCGTGATGAGGAGGAGGACCAACCACGACGAAATGCTAGGATCCGTGATGCTGCGAGGCCCAGGAGCCTCTCTCGTGGAGCCGCCAGGGACCTTCGCGTTGACAGGGATGCCCGAAGCGAGAGAGAGAGAGCCAGGGACAGTCGGGAAGTTCTTCGGGGATTGGAGGCCATCCATGACCGTGAGGGACCGGTAGGTCCCCCGGCGATTGGTGATACCCCGAATGTTCCCCCTTTTCCCAACATTACGTTTGGAGGTCCGTTAAATCAGAGAGACGTGAACTCGAACCGGGTTACTGGTTCGCCGAGAGTCACTGAGCGGGTTGCCGATGTCGTTGGGAGAGGTGCAAGAGATGGCCGGCTTGCCGATGCACTCGGAATCGAGGATCGTCCGTCGATCGCTAGCCCGTTAGGGCGAGATACCAGTGACCTTGAAACGCTAAGGTCCAGCAACGAGTTCACACCTCAGTGGGGCTCGACCGCCAGGGAACGTAGTGCGTCTGCGAAGAGGAAACGCTAAGGTCCAGCAACGAGTTCACACCTCAGTGGGGCTCGACCGCCAGGGAACGTAGTGCGTCTGCGAAGAGACCGTCACCCCTGGCCATTGAGACCGATAGGTCGAAGGCGAGGAGGGCTAGCCCCTCACCAATGGACTCAACTCCGCAGGATGAGGAGATGCCTGATCCTGCTGATGTTCACATCCACTCTACTCCCGAATCTCGTGCGTCCCATGTTGATCCCCGTTCCGGCGATAGCCGTAGAAGGGGTTCTACTCCTAGCAGGCCATCTGGGGTTGGTGATAGTCCTGTGGATGACCCCAGAAGGTATGCTAGAGCTAGTGGGGCTCCTGAGAGGATCGAGATATCGACTCCTCCAGCACTCAGGTCTCATTCTTCCGGTGAATCAGGTGACGCTAGGGCAAAGGAGGTGTTCGATTTGCACATCCAGGAGATGCTCGAGAGAGGTGAGGTTTCTGGCTCAGTCGCGAAAGCTTTCCATATTTTTGCTGACCAGATCAGGTTACTGAACGGTCAAGTGAGTTCCATGCGAAGGGAATGGAGCGACGAGAATCAACAGACGAGGGACAAGGTCGATCGACTGGCAGCTGAGGTTGCGACTCAATCTGATGCCGGGAGGATGCGAATGATAGTTCAACGGTTCGCAAGGGAAGTTATTCCCGATAGCAAGGCCATTGTGAGGCAAGCCATCGATGAGCAAGCCGAGGTCGTGGAGCAGAGGATTAACCTACTGTCCCACGAGGTCCATGAATCTGTCAGGGACAATGAGGCATCGACTGATCGGCTTCGCCTGATGATTCAGGAGAATAGTGAGGCTGCCCGCAGAAGCCATGCTGCTTCTGAGGACGAGATCCTTAAGGATTTGGACAAGCTTGAGAAACGGATGTTCTCGGTAGAGAAAACCGTTGGGATGCGGACACCGGCAGGTGTATGGAACCCGAATCCTGTCGCGCATCCGTCCGATAGGGCCAGCGGCAGTGTAGTCGATGCAAATTTCAGGGAGTTAAACCTGAAGATCGAGAAAGCTCTCCTTGATCACGAGACGTTTGCCAAGTGGGCCTCTGAATCTATTGAAGGGATCAAAGAAGAGCACACTCGTCTTGTTAATCGAGTGTCTAGACTGCAGAGTGGAAGGGGTTCTCAGGAGGTCGATAGACCATCAGGTCATGATTCCCCGCAGGACTGGCATGAGGCTGTTGACGAGATCAATCGGAAGATGCAGGATCTGGCTCGAGGAATTCAACGTCAACGTCGGGATCATGACGACATCATTTCGAGGTTTGAAACCGTGAAGTCACATGTTGAACAGTATGAAGCGAGATCGGCAGTTGTGAATCGGGTCGTTGATGGCATCCAAGGACAGATCCGTAATCTTCCTGCCAGCAGTGACCAAGTGCAGCCTGCCGTTAGGCGAGAGCTCGGCACATTCCGGAGTACACTTGAAGGTGTTATGCGGAGAGTCAGCGCTATCGATGGTAACGTGCGTAACCTTAGCGCCGCGAACAACAGAATCATGTCCCAGCTCTTTGAGATGGAGGGTCAATTTGACGAGGCTGCTGGCATTATCCAGGGTGTCCAGCAGATTAATGAAGCTCCTCCACAACCCAGAGAAAGACGGAATGTTGGTTACCATGCATTTGCGGGGCAAGGACATAGGATCAGGTCACCGACGCCTACACCAGGGGAAGGTGACGGCCGGGGTACTGGCCTGCCGGTGAGACCAGGCGGAGGCGTTGTTTTGCCTGATCATGTTTTGCCGAATGTGCCCGATAGGGTCGATCCTTCTCGCGCAGACAGGCATCCCATCTATCCCGTTAGGGAGAGGTCCGACAGCAGGAGCAGGAGGGTTCGGGGGTTGCCTGACAGGTCGCATTCGCCACCGGAGCGTGCAAGGGGTGGTCCCCGCGCGCGCGCAAGGGGGGACGTTTCTATTTCCCCCAATAGGGATGCGGGTAGGAATAGGAGCCCGAGGCCTGCTGCCGTCCCCGATAGGGGATCTGAGGTCCGGAGTCGACAACCGAGGGGGGAGAGGCCAATCCGCGATAGCGGGAGCGTCTCTCCGAATTTTGATAGGCCAATCCGCGATAGCGGGAACGTCTCTCCGAACCCAGGTCGTCATTCAGGAGGTGGTGGGGGTAATAGGGTTCATGCCGACATCCAGAGTCCTGGTGATGAGTGGAGGACTCCTGGGAGTAGAGCCAGCGCCGACACCCAGAGTCCCGGCGATAGGCGAGGGACCGCTGGAGCTCCGTCGGATCGTGGACAGGCCTCAGCGCCGGCTGCAAGAGGGGCTCCCGGCGGTGATGGCCCAGACGCGCCAAAGATTTGTGCCCTCGATGATCCCAACGACCGTAGGCACCCGAATGCTGAATTCTCGTGTGTGACATGCAGTCGTGAGTTCTGCGGGCTTTGCCGTGGTGACGACGGGGACTGTTGCAATTGTCAGTTCTTGAAAATGAAATGCTGGGCATGCCGCAAGAATGCTCAGGAGGTCTCCATGTATCTCTGTACGGATTGTGGGACTCACGTCTGTGAGAATCACAGTTACTTCGGAAATGACGGCCTTGAGCGATGTGCACGCTGCAATATTCGGCATGAACGCGCTCAAGCTGGACCGCCCCCTCCTCCTCCTCCCGGGGGAGGTGGTGGGCAAGGCGGACCACCTGGTCAAGGTGGGAGCGGAAGTGGTGGGCATGGACATGCCCCAGCTCCACCGCCAGGTCCTGGGCATTATGGTGGAGGCCAGGATCCCGCTGGGCCTTCTGGAGGCCCGAGTGGAGGGGCTCCTACCGGGGGTTACCCTGGTGGAGCGCCTGGGTTCCACGGTAGTGCTGCGGATACTCATGGAATTGGGAACAATCAGTGTGGTTCCAGTTTCTATGGTCCTGCCTACGGAGGTGGCGTTAGTCACCAAGGGGTTGGCGCTGGCGTTAGTCAGTCTTGCAATGCCACGGGT